CTACATTTTCATGATTAAATTCAATCAGTTGATCAACTTAATTGTCTGTTTACTATCAATTTCCTAATTTCAACACCTAATCACTCACAACGAAGTCAATGATTAATTTTTTCATCGTTCACAATCAAAAGTGTATCCAAAAAGTAAAATCATTATCAAAAATTAACGGAAAAAAAACTAAACATCAACAATAATCAAATTGATCAATACAATTTAAAACTAATCAATTCAATCTAATCAAAAAGTAACATTATCAACTAATAGACATCATCATTATCATGATTGTTAACAAAAAGATACTAATTATTTGCATTTCCTTGGTTGATTAATCAGAATTGAGAGAGTAACCATTGACAATTATAATGATTAACATGTAATCAGATAAATTTGAACACAAGGGGTTAATTGTTACCAAATAAACACGATTAAAATTATATAGTGATCACTTTCTTGATTTGTTTAAATTGTTAAGATTGTACAATTGTGTATTACTTTGCCTCGATAGTTAAATAACAAACAATTTATAATAATAATTTGCGTAATTTATCAACAATTAACGTGATTCCAATATTGGTTGATTAAACAATGATAATAACGGGTAACCCTATTTAATCACAATCAGTGAAGCAACTGCAATTGATTATATCATTTAAAATACTAAATCATTACGATAATTTATCAACCATTAAGTGAGAAGACAAGAAAAAATTTTTTCTTAAAATGGATAACAAAGTTAATGATGAACAATTAAAAAAAAAGAGAAACAAAAAATAACAACAATTAACTATTGAACATCAATTCTTAATGATAGTTAAGGCTTTAAGCTTATATTGATGAACAACAGTAAAATCAACAGTTAGTTAGTTAACAATTAGAAATTTTTTTCATCGTAATTATCTGCTAATCAAACAACAATTAAAATTTTCCATTTTAAGGTAACTCATTTGTTTTGGTAATTAGCTTGATTATCATGATTAAATTGTGATGTGAATTGATTATAACTTCCTGTGAGTTGATTGATTTTAGTTGATACCTTGAAAATTAATCTATTAATAAAATCAACTGATTGTTTGTTTGTGATTATAATTGATTGTTGAGACTTGACAATTTAGACTAATTATTGGCGCCAAATAATTAAATCTCAATTCTTAATCATTACAACGACATGATTATAATTGTGATTAAAAAAAGTTTCTTTTCTGTAACAATCAAAGAGGTCAAGCAAATACTGATCTCAATTAGACTAATTAGATTTGATTACCTTTGATTACGATGTTTTTGATTACATTGTATCATTTGATATTTTACCTTAATTGTTAATTGTGAATGTTTAATAATGAAAACAAATTATTTTACCAACTATTAACAATAAACGATAATGTAACAATAATTGTAAATGATTAAAAATTGTGCTACCTTAATCATCCAATGCTTATGCTTCAATAATCAGGGTTAATTAATGTTAATTGTTGATCAGAAAGAAATGATATCATTTTGTTAATCATCATTATCTTTAACAGAATTAAAAGAAAATCAATTTGATTACTTCTTAATTGTTCAACGAAGGAAGAAGAATCAAAATGAAAATGAAAAATTAAACTTCCTGGAAAACTTTTTCAAGTCAATTATTGTTCCAAGGTTATAGCAATCAACTGATTATCCTGAAAAATTAAAAACTAGTATTTATCTTAATCTAATTGTTAACTTACCTTTAGCTTTGATTGCTGCAATTGTAGTGATAACAATTCCCGCTGCAACAACAATTAAAACTAGAACTACTTCCCATCGACTAGTTAATTTGGATCTAGAATCACGGCCAAAGGTTGAATACCTTTCCCGACGTTCCCTTGAATTAGCCAGGTTGATTAATTGAAGATCAAGTTGATTGATTAAAGCTTAATTGTAACAATTAAGCTCACCAATCAAACAGAAAACAAAACAAATAAACAAAAAACTGAAACAAAAAACTTCAGCGAGAGCACAAATTAAGATATGAGAAAAGAAGATGATTAATAATTAATTTAATTTCTTCTTATGAACTTTTTTTTTTAATCCAATTGTTCCAAGTACTATTAATAGTTGTTGAATAATTGATTTACAATTAAAATAAATTAGAGTAAATAATCAAATTGTTCATTGATCACTTAGGTAAATCATTATAACAATAAGTTAATCATTTTCAGTATCAAAAGTGGTAAAAAGTAGTTGAAAAGTTTACTGATGATCAATTTAACATATAAGTTGATTGATTTTGTATCCAAATTTTCATAACACAAAAATAATTTAAAAAATTTTGAATTGAACAAGTTGTAAGAAACTTTTAAACTGAGTATCTAAATTAACTGTGATGATGATAACTGTTGTTATCGTCTTGTATGTTGGTTGACGATCAACAACTGATTGACAAAAACATGATCAAAACAACAATCAACATCAACAAACTATTAGAAACCGGGAACAATTAACTTAACATCTACAATAACATCAACAAACTTATTCACTAGTTGTAGTTGTTGCTGTTGTTATTGGTTGTGGTGGTGTCGTAACTGGAAAATAGCGACAGGTAAACACCGTTAGTACAGTTACAGGTAAGATCAATACACGGTGAGAGAGAGAGAGATGTAGACAGATAAGATGATCTGAGGTATGGACAGGTAAACATAAGCATGAGAATAGTGAACGATTATTGAACCAAATCATAAGAAAATAATTGATGCGTAATTTTTTTCGAAAAAAATTGATGATAAAGATGATGAATAAACAATACAAACAAATGCTCATCATCTTTATCATCTTTATCATCATAATCATCATCATCATCATCATGTTATTCAAAGTTTCTCATATTCATGAAACCAATTATTTCATACTCTTGATTGTTGAAGTTTTTTTTTCTGATCACTTGTTATTGTTGATTCCATGAAATTGATTAAAGGTAAAAGGTAACTTTTCATTGTTTACCTTTTAATTACAATCACTTCAGGTGTATCTTCATGATCCTTTTCATTATCTTTTTCATCTTACTTGTTACTCTTCCTTCACATTTTTTTACCTGTAATTTGAATAATAGGCTTGAATGATCATTGATTTAGTTTCCAGATTCTCAACTTTTTTTTTTGAGGGTATTTAAGGTCTTGATAATGATGGTGATGATAATGATGATCGTTGATTATCATCACCATAATAATCATGGTGTTGGTTTGGTTAACCTTTTAAAATGAGCATTCAAATGAAAGGTAATCATTATCATCATCATCATCTTACCCTTTAGAATCCAATCAACACTAAATTGTTTGACAATAAATCAAGGACAAGGAATAGCATGATCGTGATTAAGGTAAAGTTCAGTTTAGAATTTATTCTAGAATTGTGAAGAAATTAAATTTAGAAAATTCTGTCATCATTATAACCGATTATCATTGAACAAAGTGATACAAAATTTTCATCGAATATAATAAATTGGTCTTATTGATCTTCTATCACCCTTATCATCTTGATCATCAGAACGCAAACAGGTCGTGACATATATTCAATTTTGAACATTATCATTATCATCATCATCATCATCATCATTGTTATTAGGAAAAAAAAGAAAGAAAAGAAAGAAAGAGAGAGAGAAAAAAAAATTCTACTTCTCCAAAACTTTTATATCTTTTCACTTCAATGGTTGTCACATCTTCTTGTTTTTATTTACCAACAACACTTTGCTTCTTCCTCCTACTAGATAATGATATTTATCATCATCAACAATATGATAACCATCATTATCTTCCCGTTAATCCATTGATTTTGATCAACTCAATTCCAACTTCAGGGTCAATCGTTTCAACCTGATTTTCAGGGTAGAAATATTTTTTTCTGGCTCATCTTAGCACTTGGACATGTTGATTATTATATCATGATAATCAGCCGATCAATTATTATCATGATTAACTTGATTAAATCGATAGATTTTACAATACGAGTGATCTTTTCCCAATCAGTGCTAGACGATGTGTGTACATGTATTTTTTTTAATTGTATTTGCTCAATGTGATTAGTCAGTGTAAAGATGTTATCGTGTAAACGATTCGCACGAAATCATTTCTGATCATTATTATTTTTAGAAATATTTTGTTTTGTTTCTTAGGGACAAAAAAAACTCTTCCGGTTGTTCATTAGTATTCATATTGTGTCACTGTTTCCGAATATTGATTAACATATATATTTTCATGGAGGTTAGAGAAATAGTTTCATCACCTTGATTTATATTCAAGTTAATTGATTCAAGATTCAATCATTAGTAACACAGATTCTGAGTAATTATGAGTTTTTACCATAAATTGGTTGAATGGTTGACGAATGGCTTCCAAATTGTCTCATGTTTAAAGACCAAAAAAAAATTATTCGAAAGTGACATGAGAAATATACATAAATGGTTCGTCGATTATATTGACGAAATGCTAAATGTTACGAATACATGTGAAAGAATGATAGTTGAATATTAATATTTATCTGAACACTTCGATGTTCAAAATTCGGCCGATCATGAAACTTTGATATTTAACCTGGTCGATCGAAAATTCATGTTTACTTATTCGAAATGGAAAACTTTTTAGTACTTTAACGTAGTAAAATTTCGACAAAATTATACAGTTTGAAATCTTTCGTTGAGTTTATACAGAATTCGTAATTTTCATCATCTTGACTTCAGGAATAAATGAACTTTTCGTCTTTAGTAAACAGAATTACAAAGGAGCTTTGGTTCAAATCTTTCGAATAAATTTCTACAAATCATATAGAATACTATTCATCTAAGAAAACATAACTTACAATAGTTTGTTGGATAAATAGTCGATAGATTTAATTGAAGAAAGTAATTAAATTCAAAAATTATAAAAAGGAAAAGAGAAAAATCCAATTCAAAACGCGCGCCTAATTTAGGACTTTTATTCTAAAAAGATACAAAATATATCTGAATATTTATCCGATATCGAAAAAAATCCAATCTCAAGTTGGAATTTCAACTTTTAAACAAAACTGAATTAAGAATTAAAATTTTTAATTAACTAGCCTTTAACAAGAAATTGATTCTTTTTATCAATCGAATTTTCTTCAAAACAACTTAATTATTTTAGTTAATCATTTGAATCTTAGAAGCAAATTCAAGTTTTGATTGTTAATCATCTGAAACTCTTGTTTTTGTAAATTGAAAGTGTTCATCTGAGAAATTGGAATTAATTTGCAAAATTAACCATGTCTGCCTTTGGTATAATTGTGAGCGGTCGTTTGGTTCAAACTGATTTCCAACCGGTTGATGCTGGTAAATTTTTGATAACCATACCAAGTCCTGAGAGTCTTAATCACATTGTCGTCTTTCTCACCGGAACCTCACCCTTACCTGTTGAGATGGGTGCAAGTGTCTATTTCTCATGGCCTGACCCAACCAGTCCACCTACATGGCAATACTTGGGTTACATTTCAAATGATAAACCATCGGCCATTTTTAGGATAACCAAGTTAAAAAATGCAACTCCTGCGAACACTTTTGCCTTTTCTCAACCCATTGTTGCTCAATATGCTCAGATTGGTATCTCATGTGAACCATTAACTCAAATTGCTCAATTAACTGCTGATATAACAGTCAATCCAATGGGATCAGATTCACTGGTTACCTATGCAGCAAAAACAGCGGAAAATTTATTCAATTATACCTGTTCATTTGCTCGAACCATATTACCCAATACAAATGAACAATATGTTCCACTTTCAATTATCCAACAATGGTACACTAATTTCATGAGAAGAGTTGAACAAGATCCAACATTCATGAAAGGATAAATCATCATTATCATCATCATCATCATCTTTAATCACCATATTTACATCTCTACTCTTTCATACATACAAACTGAACTGATAATTTTTTTTTAAAAAACTTGTACAAAAAAATTGTTTCCTTTTACCAACTCAATTTATATTGTAACAATTATTCAATCATCAGTGTAATTCATATCATTCACAATTTAAACCTAAATTGTATCTCATCATCTTCAATATTACCTGTGATTAATTTTCCCCTCTCAGATTAAACAAAAACAAGACCATTTTGATTGAAAAATGTAACCATTTTCAATCAATCAAAAAAGTTCCTAAAAATCCCACCAATTTAACCTAAACCCTTTCTAATTGTAGATAAAAAAAGAAATCATCTAAACAATTTAAAACAAGTTGAAAATTTCGACCAAACAAAAATTGCTAAAAAAAAAGCCACACCAAGAAATTAACTTTCGACGATCAAAACAATCAGAATCAAATGAATCAACTATAATCGGAAAAACGATTCCAGTCAATTGGAAGAGAGAAACAGAGATGAATCCAAATTCTTAACCAATTGATCACTAATTGAGATTGTTACTGTTTCCCTGATTAAGCGAACCCATTAATCAGTTAAGGAAGAGGAAAGAGCTCACCTTTTATCATTAATTATCATCCACCATCATCTTCATCATTCTGCCCAACGGATGACAACCTGTTTTTTTATTCTTCTCTCTTTTTCTCATCCACCACATAATCTAAACTCCACTGTGGCAGTTTTTGTTTTTCTCCATTAACTTGACGTGTCTTTAAATCTCTTCATCTTCTTATAGAATTACTCACATTTCTCCTTTTTTTAAATTGTTTTTCTTTTTCTTCTTCTTCACTTCTTTGTGATTTAAACACAATTAGACCAACATGTTGTTCAGATTAAATTGTCCTTTGGTTGGATGTTTATTTCTTTTAACAGCAACAATTACAATTGTCTCTTGTGATGAAGAGGAAGGTGAATTGAAGATTGATGTTACTCACAAACCGACAAAATGTGATCGTGTTACTAGTAAAGGTGATTTACTTAAAATGCATTACCGAGGAACTTTATTAGATGGAACTGAATTTGATTCTAGGTGAGTTAATTTACGCAAATTATATTCTATTATTGTATCTATTTGATTGTAGATTTAATGTAAATTCAATGGTTTTGTTTCTCATCTCTTTTTGTTTCTCTCTCTCTCTATATTTATCTTATTGGTTTATGTTTTTAGTTACTCTCGTAATGAACCTTTCCAATTTCAATTGGGAATTAATCAGGTAATCCAAGGATGGGATCAAGGATTACTTGATATGTGTGTCGGTGAAAAGAGGAAATTAACTATTCCTTCACACCTTGGCTATGGTGACAATGGTGCTGGTAATAAGATCCCACCTAAAGCAACATTACTCTTTGAGGTTGAATGTGTTTCCATTGAAGATGGTCCACCACCGGTCAATGTTTTCAAAGAAATTGATTCCAACAGTGATAATCAACTTTCAAGGGAAGAAGTAAGTTAATTGTGTCCCCTGGAAACCATTTAATTATCTTCTTTTCTATTGATTGTATTCTTTTCCCATCTACCTAACCTATGGACTATTTTTTTTTACTAATCAATTTTTATCTTTTCTCTCTCTCTCTCTCTTTCTTTTTTATAGATTAGTGAATATCTAACTAAACAATTACCTAATGTTCCCGATTCAACATTGAAAGATCTCCCTGACCATGACAATTTGATTGAAGAAATTTTCCAAAATGAGGATAAAGATCGAAATGGTTATATTTCTCACAAAGAATTCACTGGGCCTAAACATGACGAGCTTTGAACAAATTCTCACAATGTTAATAGATGCAATTAACTTTTTTTTTATTAGTATAATAATAATAATCTCCAATCAACAAATTAATCAGAAAGAGAAAGAAAGTTAATCAGTCAATATACAAGCCAAAGACTGTGAGTTAAACAATCAACTGTTTAAATCAAATCATTCACGCAGTTGATTATAATCAATGAGAGAGAGAGATAAAGTTAACCAGAGATATGATATTAATCAATAGCCTATCATTTATCACGAGTTAATCCAATCCATTGAAATGGTCTTTTGATTAATTATCTTTACCTGATTATCATTACCTGTGCAAATGATTTGGTCAACCAAGTGATTGACAAAATCAAAGTCTTTGGCTGTATAAATAAAAGTTATATTCAGATTTTTGCTCCATTGTATCTCCACATAATACAACAATTAATTGTCCTGAATGAAGTGTATGTGTTTTACATGTTGTCTAATTATTATCAACTATTTTTGATTGAACAAATTTAAATTACCAGAACCATAATTGCAAATCCATCACATGGCAAATTCAACAACAAGGATTCAACTTAAAATCTTCAACATTTGAATTTTGATTAGCAATATTATATGATAAATTTAATCATCTTTTTTTATTTTATATATACAATTTATTCAATGTCAACACCAACACCAATGAGAGAAATTAATTGTTTGTACTCTTGTTACAATTAACCACCTAACGATTAACTATGATTAAATCTTTATTTCTACCGGGACTAATTAACCTTAATTGGAATGATTTAAAATTGGAAATGACCATGGAAATGTTATCAATCAATTTGTTGAAAAATTGGACATTTCTAAATTTGATTGAGACTTTTAATTGTTTGGATAGAAAAGAATAAAAGTTTTTCCAAATTAGTAGAATTACAAAATTGGCGGTTATCGAAATTGAGAAGCATGGAAACAAAGAGAGAGAAAGAAAGAAAAGTAAGAAGCTCTTTCAGTTTATCTTTCAAATTTTTTATTCCATTTTAATCATCATCACTTCATCTTCATCCTCATCTTCATTAGTTCCTTTAATTGTGAGTAGAAAAAGGACTAAACCAAAGTTAATTAATTGGAGTTAATTGTTGCCACCCAATCATCGGGCATCTCGGTTTCCACTGCCACCAACATTAAAGTGCTTTCAGTTAACTGCGACAACGACAACAAACTGTTAGTGTCACAATTTTATTCTGACAAAAGTGATCCAATTCTTGTTTTTTGTTCTTTCATCTACCGAGTGTTTAACCTTTTAATCAGCTTGATTGTTAAATCTTTGATTGATTGTTCTTCTTTTGTTCTTGAAATCTTTCTCCTCTTTCTATCACTGATTTGATCTTCTTACACTGAATATTTTTTTTCTTTCTCTCTCTCTTTTTCTTTCTCTTGTTCTTTTCAACTCACCTATGTGATATTAATTTTTATTTATTCTATGGCTAACAAGGAATCTAGGCCCTCAACACCCCCAGCAAGAGATTCATCTCCAGATAATTCTAATGCTACAGGTGGTAGTGGTAGTGGAAGCATTAGTGGTAAGGTAACTAAATCTCAACGTAAACGTGACAAAAAGGTAACAAAAGAAAAAGAAAAGAATGAAAAAATTGAAGCTGAACCAATGGATAAGATGGCGGAAGGTGGTGGTGGTGGTAACAATCGGGAAGATGAGAATACATGGGACTGTACCGTTTGTACTTATAAGAATCCTGCCGAAGCTTTTAAATGTTTAATGTGTGATGTTCGAAAAGGAACCAGTACCCGTAAGCCAAGAATTAATCCTGAACTGGTGGCTCAGCAAGTTGCTCGACAACAGCAACACTTATTGTTGAAAATATCACATGGACGAACCAAAGATGGCAATGGTAGTGGAAGGGAGAGTAGAGAAGGAAGCCGAGATGGAAGTCGAGACGGACGAGATAAAGATGGCGATCATAATTCTAGAGAAAAGATTAATGATCCAATTAAAGAAGGAAATGGAAAAGAGAGCAGCGGTCGAGTGGACAGCGATTCTGGGCCTGAAACAAAGAGACACTCATCTTCCCACAAGCAAAATAAACACCGAAAAAATTTAAACCATGATGGTAACTCACTTGGAACCAGTAATAGTCACATTAAAAGCAACACCATCGTGAACAATAACAACAACAACAACCACAACCACAACAACAACACCAACAATATCAAGTCTAGTTCATCTAGCAATATAAGTAATAATTTCTCATCTGAAGCTGTAACTGTCAACAATGTTACTGTTATTATTACTGAATTTCAAAAAGACTTGAAAGATAGGAGTCCATTATCATTGCCATTTTCTCAACTTAATTAGAATTTATCTTTTAAATTCCTTCCACCAATCAACTAATCACTATGCTCCAATATCTGCCCTTCTCTAGCTCTCTGTCTCTCTTAATTGTTGCTCAAATGGAAAAGACAACACCGACGCTTTCTCTCAACAACTTACATTTCATCTTTTTGATAAAAACAAAATTCATTTTATTTTAAATTAATCATCATCGTCATGATCATCATCTTATAGGAAACTTGTCACTAATTATACTTTCTCTCTAAATCCGTCGCCGTCGTCATCTCCACCGCCGCTGCCACCTCTTTATCTAATCCATTGAGACAGTTATTGTTTTCCTCTTTTTCATTTATATAAGAGAAAATTTCTTTATAACTACTTTAATTTCTATACACACATACAACTTAATTATATTTTTATCCCGTGAATTGTATTTTTCTGTTTTAATTTGTATTTTACACAATTGACTAATTAACTTATCAAAATGTTGATTAAATACACTTGGCCTGTTAAAAGATAATCACAACACCAATCAACTGTTACGAATGGGAAATGTCACTACATCAACAATTCTAATTTGTTTACATACAAACTTTTAATTCTAATTTCGATTAAATCTTCAAGAGTTAAATCATTCGACAGGTAAACACATTCACATATTCAAGGTGAACAATTGAATTAAATGAATTTAGTGAATTTTTTTTTTCTTCAAGAGTTGAAATGTTCAGAAAGAGTAATTAAAAAGCAGAATTATATTTTAATATTATTACATTATTACATTCAAAGGGTAGATGAATTTTTTTAGAAAAAAAAATTGAAACAAAGAGAAGAAAAAAAAATCAGTCAATTACAGTGATATTTGATTGATGATGAAAAGTATATAATAAGGGTGAAAAAAATTAAGGGAACAAATTAGTTAATTATGATAATAGAAAGGAAAGTTTTCTTTACAGAAGCGTTTGTTTTGGTTTTCTCAATGTCACAGTAAATGTTGAAGGAAAAGGCGATAAATTGTTTGGTAGTAATATATGTTTGTCTTTGTGTGTTGTGATTTAATTTTCACGGTTACACTTTAATTGTAACACAGTTTGGTTTTTAATTTGATTAGTTTAACACTCGGTTACCCAATCATTTTCAGCGAGAAAAGTATCGATCACTTCTTTCATGGCCAAATTGGGTATAAGCTGTTCAGCGGTTAACGGGGTTCGAGTGATCGGATCAAAGTGTCCAACACGTTGAAGATGCTCTTCAATTACCTTACGATCATAGGTTATCCCACTGGGAGTGATAACTGGATCCATCATCACCTCGAAGCTAATTTTACCACAAAGATAATCAGGAATATCTCGCTTTCGCCTTCTAGTATCAAGTTGGCTGAAAAGCGCATTCAATTCTGATACATGTTGGTGACTTTTGGCTTCAACTTGATTCTCAATTAAAGCCAATTTTTCATCATCTTTGGTTGTTGTTCGAGCCTCTTCTAATTGTCTTTCTTTGTCCTTTTTAATGAGATCATTTAGATAGGTTTGTAGTTCAATTTCTTCCTTGATTCTCTTTTCTTCCAATTGATTCCATCGCCGTTTTCGAGCCAACCTTAACTGTGAAGCGATTTCATCACCAAAATTTTTCTTCTGCTCTCTAGCCAAATCAGAGGCTCGTTGTAAATGTTTAATGGCGTCATCATAAGCTTCAACTTCGAGTAAAGCTGAACCAAGGAAAAAGTGACCCTTTATTGAATTCGGGTCCATGTCTAAGGCTCTACGAGCATCTTTTAAAGATAATTCCCATTGTTGGAGTTTAAGGTAACACAGGGCACGATTGGTGAAATACTTGGAATCTGCTGGATCACATGAGATGGCACGGGAATAATAATCAAGGGCTTCTTGGTACTTTTGATGACTGAACAATTTATTGCCCTGTTCTTTCAACTCTAAAGCACTTATGTCCTTGCTTATTGGCATCAGGTTTAATTTTCTCTTATTTAGGCCTCAGATATAAAGATTATGGTGCAAAGTAAAGAGAGAGAGGCGGCTGGTGATGACGGTGGAGGTAAATAATAGCTCTCAACTCAGAGAAAAGAAAAGATTTAAACACAAAACACCATGAAAAAAAAACGAACAAAAAAAGTATATGAGTAAATGAGAATAGAGAAAAAAAATAATAGAGAAAAAAAGCTCAGAAAGAAAAGAGAAGTGATTGTTTACACAAAGATAGATCTTGATGTTCAACCAGAAGAGAAACAAATCAACACTAGTAATTAAACTGGCAATTAAAAATCTTCTTAAATTGGTTACAAATTATGGAAAATAAACAATTTAAAGGAGAAAAGTAATCAAATTAAATGTTTACTAATTTAAAGAAATTTGACAGAAATGAAAACAAACTCACTCAGGTGATTGAGAACTCACCTTAGGGTTTGTACTTTAATTGCCAACAATTGATTGTTTTACTTTTATTACTCAACAATTAATTTCCTTTTTCAATCCAAAAGGTAGTAATTTATTAATAGTTTAATAAAAAGGGTAACAATCATCAGAGCCAATTTATGACTAATAATCGATTGGAAAAATTCAATAGGAACAATAGGAATACAGCAAATGGTTAACCTTTTTTTTTAATTGTTCCAATGGTTGTAACAATTAAATTACCAAAGACTATACATGAGATTTAATGGAAAGTAAATCTTAGAAAGTGAAACAAAATTTCTGATTACAATTGAGTTTCATAATGAATCTGAAATGATCAAATCAAATGATCAATTGGACTTGAAATTTACGATTTTCTATCAGGGTAATTAACTAATTAATTGACTCGACTTTTTTTCTTTCTCGCCTTTGAGGTTATTATTATTATTGGTGTTCGAACCTAATCAGCAATCATGATTTATCAGCATGAGCAATGAATTAGTTGATCACCATCGTGATGAATTTTTGAATGAAAACAAAACAAATGATTTGTCAACATGAAATGGACGATGAGCTTTGACAGGTAGATTGTCAGGTAATTGTTGTTAAATGTGATTCGATTCTCGGAGATAATAATAAATGTAAGTTCATTTATGATGTAATTTTAATTCTTGAGTTTCCTTGAAGAAAATTAATTTAGTTTTACATTTTTCAAGGTCAGAGAAAACCAGTCGAACCTCTAAAGTAGTTAAGAACAACTCAAATGTCCAGGTAACCAAAACGAGTGTACCAACTAATAGGAAAACGATAGTTGGTGCTAATGGTAAAATCGATTCTCGAGTATCTTCTAGAATTACAATATCAAATGTGACGAAGGATAAAATTTCAACCAATGAGAAGATTCCAGTTAAATCTTCATCTAAATTAACGGTTTCGACTAAAACGCCAACATCGTCGATTAAGGTTCGACCAACGGTGAAAACAACGATTCCAGCGAAATCCAATGTTTCCAATTCAAAGATCACATCGAAATCATCGATCACTGGTTCTGGTGTAACTGGAAAATTAAATGAGAGACGATTGTCTCGAATTGAAACTAAGACAGCGACTAAATCACGATCAAGTTTGGAGAAATCAGTAATCAAATTAAATGATGATTCGAGTAAAAAGAAATCAACTCAAGATTTAAAGATTGTCAAACCTGATGATTATCATCAACGTCCATCAGATGAGCTACAATCAGGAAAAGATGAATCAGAAAATAAATCAATTAGACCAGGAACTGCTAATCGAACCCATGGTAGCTCTTCCAACAGTCTAATCAAATCAAATCAATTAGTTAATCAACAACAAGAAATAGAAACGGAAAAGGTAGAAATTTCTTCTATTCGAATCTTTGATATTCTTTCAAATTGAAATTCTTATTATTATTTTTTTCTAACAGTTTGTAGAAAGAAAACAGAATATTACAAGTTCGACATTGGATAAAGTTGAAACTGACAATTCGCTGAGTGGCCATGAAAGTACTAATGATATCGAAGAAGTGACAGAAGCTGATTATTCAGATGATTTCGAGGATTATGAATCTGATTTTGAAGAGTACGAAAGTGACAATGAAATGAAGACACCCAACGATAAGGACTCGTCCTTAGGCTCATTGGATTCGCCCGTAATTTCATTATCTAGCTTGACTAAGCCGAAATCAATTGCAAAGACTGAAAATCTGAAATCTAGTGAACAATCAACTGATTCAAAAGAACCGTCAATAATTAGATGGGAAATCACTTTACCGCCTCCGACAATAAAGGTTGATGGTAATAAAATCATTGATGATTCTTTACAGAATCAAAAAGAATCCGAATCAATGAAATCAAAGCAAATCGAGAATTCAAATCTCGATGATTCTTTAAGAACAAATAATCTCTTGAAACATTTACTCGGTCCTGATAATGTTAATACAATCGCTATTCAAACAGTGGAAACTTCTGAATCTTCATGTCAATCAGATGAAATCAATTCAACTCATAAGAATATCCAATGTCCAGCTCGTTCGAATCTTGCTGATGGTCCATCCAATCCCACGCCAATCGATAATATTGATATTCTTAGATTGTCCCATTTTCTTGAAATCGGTGAAAAGATAACTAAAAATCTTATATCGAGTAAAACCTTTTCCTATTCAAGTACCAATGGTCATCCTATTATCGACAATTCTGGGTCAATGTATCCACCAAAAATTCCGAGCTATGGATTAGAGCCAAACAATTTAATCATCTCTTATCACCTTCCTGATGATTATAAACACTTTCAGATCAATAGTGTTGTGACCGATAGTCGATACGTTTATGTGGTCACTAATTATGGTTCTGTTGACGGAAATAAGTTCTTTGGATCGTTAATATTGGTATGGAACTTGTTAGAACCTCGAAAATGTGAATATTTGTTACACTGTAAATTTAATTGTACCAAAGTTATTACTGACAATGAATTCCTAATAATCGCTGGTTCCGTTGATGGTTCACTCGTGGCCTGGGATTTAAGGGAACCCTCACATCAACACAGTCAAGTGAACAAATTGCTCTTGATCAGTACTGATCTAACATTGAGAAATCCTTCATTTACAACAGCGATTGGTAAACACACTGATTACCATCAAGCACCAATCTTACAATTATTTTACAGATTTGAAGTTAATGATGATACGGAAGCGAAAAGAATTGTTTCACTTGATGAAAGTGGGAAGATAATTGTTTGGTTAATTGTTGAATCTTATGTTGACGATTTATCGGCCTTACAACAAGTAACCATTGGCTTGAGACCAGGAAGTTGTATTAGACTTCAAATTTCAATGGTCGTCAATTTACCGACCAGTTACATTGGAAATTCTGAAAGTTCAATCACTTGCATTGATTGTTCACCAACTGATTCTTGGAATTATCTAATTGGAACCAATTTAGGTTCAATTTATCGATATTCGAAGTATCTGGAAAATTCTGCTGACCCAATGGAAGTAATTAAATACACTTATTTCTCAGATGAAATGTATCATCCGGTTACTTGTATTTCTCATCATCCTAATCCTGAAAGTGAATCATTTCTCGTCGGCTACATGGATGGATCGATTTGCCTTTTCTCAATTAAATATCAATTTCCAATACGAATCTGGTTAACCGAAGATACTGGATATTCAACCATAATCAACTCTTTTTGGCTTTCCCATGAAACTGAACTATTTCTGATTCTCGACCAAACTAAAGGTATTTCTGTTCGTGATGTAAAAGGTAAAGGAGAGAGTCTATTTGAACACCAGAACGGAAATGAAAGGTAAGGTCACAACTTCCTCTTGGTTGATTAAATGTATTCCAACCATGATCCATGTTATAATATTGTTGACACATTCGCTTATCCATCTCATTAGGATCATTTTCGTTAACGTCAGCACGATCAATTTGGATGAATACTTTTTGGTAAGTAATTGAATGAATCTCCTTAAATTGTGGCTTTAATTGTTTCCTCCATTGTCCTTAGATCTATGCGTTGGCAGATTCGTCGATTTCAGGTTTCAATCTTTCCAATCACATGTCAAATAATTGATGATGGTTCTCAGTTTGTTGGAATCAATTGATACATGGAGATCAAAGAAAAGTTAATTGTTATAAATTGTGTTTACATTTGAATAAGTAATAAGAAAATTATTTATCTCTCTTTGAAATTGCACTAATATACAAACAAAGTTCTGAATAAAGTTCAGAATGTGTAAGGAAATTGTATTGAGATGTTTTTCTTTACACATATAATTTGTTTCCATTGATAGAAATGTCTCTCTTTTTGTTTAAACCGTTACAATTATTGTACATTTTAAGGTATAAGACAAGTTTAGGTACAAAATTATCACTAATGTGATTTTTTAAACTCGTTGTTTGGTGTCTTCGATTCCTTTGATTAGTTGATTAGTTTTTCCTCTTCTTTAAACTATAATTAGATATTATTCAAGTCCAAGGAAATAATTTATACCTTGTACTGCCAATAGTATTAAAGGCTGCCAGGCCACAAGGTAACGAATAAAGTCCAATAGATTACCGTATAAATAGTGCGGTTTTTGGAAAGGTAGGGAAGCGAAAAGTTTCTGAGTGTCCACTTTTTCACGACAAAAGGGACAGATTTGCTTTTTACCCACTAAACACCAACCATAGATACAATATTCGTGGTATTTATGGCCACATGAGAGAGTAAAACATCTCTCTTGTTCAAAGGTATCATCATAACTTAATGAAGAATCAACTGCATCTACTAGGCCATCGTGACTTCGACCGCAAATTGCACATATTGAGCTTTTTAATTGTTTAGAGGGAAGTGATGATGAAGGCTGATAGTAACCAATGTTGGCAGTTAAAATGTCGACAAGAAAATCGGTAAAATCTCGTGTCAAGACTCCCCAATAGATACCATAAAATAGAAACATAATACCAATATCCAAAGGTATTTGCGGTTTGATTCCAAACATTAAATTTAAACCTAAAAAGTAGATAAATGATTAAGATTATTAAAGATTGAATTACGATGTTTACATTGGAGGAAAATATGAAACTCACCTAAAAAAGTACACATAACAATAATGTAGCCTGTGACAGCGATTACCGATGAGATGGAGTATAAATAGTAGAACCATTTATAAATCATTCGTGGGGTTGATCCGCTCATCTTATTGTTAACCAAAGGTTTCCAAATGAAGGCTACAGTGAGAATTGTTAATGAGGCCCAAATGCCAACAAATCGCCACCATGAGTTGTGTATGGAAATACCAATTGGTAATAGCCACATGGCGAACATTGAAAAATTTTGATAACTTTTCATGTGACGCTTTTTCCAAGCAATCAGACCAATTTGAACGGAAAAAGTGGCCACAATTAGTACCAATAGCATCATCGCATGCATACCTTCATGTCCTCGGTGTTTCTCATGGAAAAGAATGTGATTTCGCTCTTCTTCACTTAAGGCTGATAGATTAACCTTATGAATATCGTGACTGTGAACCATTTTTGATGATGACAATCAAATAAATCAGTTAATTACAAAGATTTTCTCAAACAAATGAGTCTCAATGAGTCGATAAGCTTTTTCTTTTCAAGAGTGAGAGAGAAAAAAAAGATGACGTTGGATATTGGATAATGTAACTCCAATTCTAATTTGAATGGAATGATGAAAATTATTCCAAAATGATGAGTCCAATCAAGATTAGAGTAATTGAAGATTAAATTAAGAGAATGAAGATGTGGATTAGTGAGATGATTAGATTATCCTTTCCATGAGAAGATCATTTTGAAGGTAAGAAAACCAAGAAAACACAAAACATAAGGGAAGAATTCATAAGATAGGAAGAGAGAGAGAGAGAGAGAAAAGAACAGAGAATTTTTTTTCTCATTCACATAAATTTTACCTTTTAAGTATCACAGAAAATGAATTAACACCAAATTAAAATTTTTTAACCTTCTCCCTCTCCCTCTAATTAAGAGTAAATTGTTCTTGTAACTAATTAACTAAACAATTGAAAGTAAAAAAAAATGACTAAACGATTGAACAACAAACCGGTGGTAATAAAAATCCACAACAAACAAACCAAAAAGAAAGAGAAAAAGAAAGAGAAAAAGAAAGAGAAACGATTGGTAAACAAACAACCAATGAAAAGAAAACGAAACTTAATTCAAATAACATTTTCTTTTCTCTTTATTTTCGTTGATTGTTTACCTTTAATTTAATTTCTAATTGTGAATTCTAAACCCTAATTATAATCTTTTAATTATCCTTTTTAACAATCAATTGATTTGGTAATTAATGGTAACCCAATGTGACCAGAAAATCAACAATTCAAATCAATTTGAATCCTGATCGGTTCACCTTAACAAATTGTAATTGTATTTCTATTAATTAATTTTGTGTCTTTTTTTAGATTCATTTAGATTCCTTAATTGTGTTCATTCCCATGAAAGGTCAACTCTTTCCTGTATTTCCAAAAATTGATATTCACCTACAATGATGGTCCATCAATCTTGACTTTCTAATTTAAAATTGACTTGAGAAATCTATGGTTACAGTTTTGTTTTTGTTTTCCTCTTTGGCTTTTCCTATTGTTGTTAAGCTTAATTGGATCTTATTAATATCATGTAAGTATTATAGTTAATTTTAATATTTAATTCACACAATTAATCATGTCTTGTCCATTTCTTTGTATATAATTAGGTTGCATCAAATTGGTTTGATTGGATTGACAGTTAACTTTGAAAGTAAAAGGAAACATAGTTATAGATGAAAAGTGATTGTGATGGTGTTTTCATTTATCTTTTTGGCTTATCGATTGATTTATTTTTCCAAGTGAATTAAATTTAATTGGCATCAGGGTTAATAATAATAATAATAATCAATCCAGTGACTGATTGCTGAAGACGAAAAAAAAATCTAACTCTTCTCAGGAAAATGTGAATGAATCCATAAGAATCAAACAATCAACCGATGAATCTAAACTTTTATCACCTCAAGTTGGTTAACAATTACAAGGGTGAAATTGATCAATTTTGAAAAGCAAAATGGAACCAAAAATCAAGACAAGATGATGATCACATCTCATCAACATGTGATTGCAAATGAATTGAGAGAGAAAAAGAAAACACCATAATTAAAGATAATGGACACAACGAGAACATTTTATCCATCAGAATCCCGGAGTTCCAAGAGCAACAGAACTTTTCAAATATTAGTATTAATAATACGAATTATCTTGGTTAACATTAACTTGATCATAAATCCAATGAATTAGAGATAATCCAGAATCGGAGGAAATTTTCACAGGTCAAAGGCACAAGGTAAACATTTATAATCTTAGAACGATTTTTAAAAGAAAGAGATCAACCTAATTATCTTACTTCATCTCTATCAAGAACCTCTAAATGTCACTTAAATTGTGATTATCATCAAATCAACGTGACTTTTTGCTCTCTCTCTCATTTTCTCATTGAACTAACCAATAATCACGTTTAAAATCAATTGATCTCTCTCTCTCTCTCTCCATCTTTCTTTACCCTCATCATCTCCATCTTCATCTTCATCTTCATCTCCATCCTCATCTCTTTTTTTACCTATTATATTGATCATTCTAGACTCTAATCTCATCTAAACAGTTTCATTTTTAATCAACAATTTACAAATCACAACAAAGTAAAAAACATCATCAAAAATGAAAAATTATATCGATAAAACTGAGGTGGGATTGATTTATTATCTTAATTCATTCTTGACTAATTTTAATCATCAATCAACTAATCCATTCAGTCAATCAATCAATCAATTTAAACAGTTTCTCATATCTTTCAAATAACATTTATAATTTATCACAATTAAGGACATCTTTTTTTTACATATTGTTAAAAGTGTAACAATTAAGCTTTCGATGCTAATATTAATTGATTTTCTTGTGATTGAGACAATTGAAATAATCATTGATTGCTACTTTTTTCACCATTCCAAACAATTTAACTTAATCAATCTAATATCTTTTTGTTTTTCATTTATTTTTCTATTTAATCATTGATTATGATGATTACAACAATTTAGAGTTGTAGCAATGGCAGTTACTTAATGAATCTGGACGAGTTTCTCATTGAGAATGGAGTTGATTACAATTACATGAATATCATTAAAGAGGAGCAAAAAATTAACATTGAATTCAGGTAAATATCAAAATCTTCATTTATTTACACTGATTAACGAAAAAAATATTTTCCAACTAGTTGATTATGATCAAAGAGATAAACAAAATCAAATTAACTCAACATTCAACTTCAATGTTTACCCAATTAATTGTATTGCAACTTTGATTTACTCTGTTTACTTTAATATTGTTTGTATTCATTAAATTGTATTAATGAAAAACAACCGATTCTCAATTGGATTAAATTTAATTTGCTAACAAAAAATTAATAACAACAATAAGGTTAACAGTGAATTAAAATTTTTACTCAAAAATCAAATCAAACCCTTAGGGATGAGTATTCATCTCATATAATATGTGATATTTTTATTATTATCAAATAATTTATCAATTAATTTTTCAATTTATGATTATCATTAAATGATGTTTATGATTTTCGGTGAAAATATTATTTTTCATGTTTATGATTAAATGATTTAATGATTTATTAACCATTGTTTATGTAAATGTTTATTGTAATATCATCAAAAACAATACGATTACAACAATTTAATCATATTTGATTGGAATTACAATAAGCCGATTGATAATTAAGTTTCTTCGATGTGAAATTTTCTTCTCAGGTTTTCAATTTTAATGTATTCATTATTCAGTCTGAGTATTAATATTTTTCTTTTCATATGATTCATTGAATATGCTCAGAATTTTGTATGTTTACTATTTGATGTTATTTATAGCTCTTTGGATATTGCCTTGGCCACTCTACCTGGAAGCGAAGCAAGTTTTGACCCTTCCAATGCTCGATTCAGTGAAAATGAACTTCGTCCTCAACCAATAATGAGAAAATCACGTAAACAGCATGTACCTGATACATTGAAAGATGCTCGATATTGGGCTCGTCGAAGTAAGAATAATATGGCTGCTAAAAGATCTAGAGAGGCTCGTCGACTGAAAGAGAATCAGATTGTCCTTCGAGCGAGTTACCTGGAGAAAGAGAATGAATCTCTTCGATTATCTTTACAAAATCTTCGAGATGAAAATGAAAGACTCAAGAAATTGCTCGATTCTGAATGAGAATAATTTTCATTACTATCAGCTATCTGTTCGGACAATAGCTCACCCAAACGTAAAAAGATTTGGAACTTTCTTCTCTACCCAATGAGCTCTTCTACTACAACTAAACTTTACTCTTTCAGATTCAAGACAAAATGAACAATCAATTGGCTAACAATTGAAAACATTTCCAGCACAAATTGAATATTGATTTGATACTAAACGAACTAGAAAACGCATTCTCAATCTCGAACTTATAAAAATAAATAAACTGTTCACCTTAATGTTCAAATCTTTGTATTAGTTTCACGAGTTAATCACAATCTTTGTAAAACCTTATAATTTAACTAATCGATCAAAAATTAAAGTAAATTGATTGAAACTTCGTTTGATTCGTTTAATTAACATTATGAAACATTTCAAGAATGAATTTTTCGCTCGAGAAAAAAATTCTACTCAAAGAAAAACTAACTTAAGAAACTAATTCTTTCCTATCAAATTCTGATGAACGAATCAAAGTTTTCGAAAAAAAATTAGAACCTTATATATCGATCTAAGACTGTATTGATCATTATCAATAACTCGTTGATGTGATTAATTTCCAATCAAATGATCCAAATCAAGGTTAATAGTTACAATTTGGATTAATATTTCCACAGATCAACTTTTCTTTTTAAAAAAAAAGGATTAACTTTAAGGAGTGAGACTAATCTGTTGTTCCGGTTGTAACATCATCAATATCTGTCTGATTAGCTGCTCATTCACAATTAATTGTAGGTGAGGTGTCAAAGCTAATCAAGTTATGAGAATGACAATTATGCGTCATCTGTCAAAAATTAATACAACCATTGTAAATGACGCAGGGAAAGGCCACCCCAATCATGGTGGGTGGAATGAGTTATTCTGAGAGTGAGAGTGGAAACTTTTTTGTCTCATCACCTTCAGTTTTATAAAGTTTTTGAGAGCTTTGGTTAGATATTTATATTAAATTAATCTATGTATCAATTCATTATAAATTGATCAGCCACCAATTAAACATCAACAACTAAACCGTTAATTGTCAAGTGTTATCATTTATTATCTTCATTTAATATCTGAATATGTGTTTGTGATTCAATCAATCAAATTGTGTATTAATTGTGAGTGTTAATCATTGGATTTATCAATATATCTATTATCGTCAATTTCATCTCTATATTTATCCAGATAACAATTTAGGAACTTAATTACTAAAGGTAAAAGGTTCAATTTCAAATTGATTACTATTATTATTATTCAATGAAGAAAATATGAAATATGAAATAAATTATTTTGTTTTTCTTTAAATGTTTAATTTCTTGATCCTTAGATGATTCAAATTACTCGTTGGTTATATTCTCAATGCTCTATCATTATTTTACTAATTACTCTACTCCCACTGATTTATTCGTATCCACAATCAAATTCTGGCTCAGAGTATATTAATCAACGTGCACTTCGATCCCAAAAAGTTAGAACTTGTGGACGTAATCTGATGAACTTAATTCAATTAGTTTGTTCTGGTTCGATGCCTGGTAAACGTAATTATCATGATGAATCCTGGACATCAAAAGGTTAGATTGATTTAATTTCTTTTTTCTTCTCCATGATGGTGATGATGATATAACTAATTTCCAATCGTTTGATTATAATTCTTACAGAACTTAGACCTTGGTCTCTACACTCAAAGTTTAATCTTGAAGATAATGATTCAGAATCTGACGATTTCATGGACACCAGAGCAGCTCTTTCATTATTTGGTACAAGTAAGCGATCAGTTAACAATGACAATCAAATTTTCTTTCGAAATGTTCGAGGTGCTTCAGATGAATGTTGCAAAAAATCGTGTTCTTTTGATGAACTTCGAGCCTATTGTCGTCCATCCGGTAGATGAAATCTTAATTGATCTAAATTGTGGTCTCTCTTGTTCAATAATTAACTTTGCGGTGAATAATAATATCTAATAAATGAACAATCAAAAATTTCAATTTAATTTCTTCTTAAAGTTCATCAATAAAAATAGTAAATTATTGTTTAATGTTAAATTTAATTGCTCATCTTATTGCGGTTTAAACAATTAGTGTCACTTTTTGTGCCAAAAACTTTCAATCAATAACAATCAGTCAATAACAATTCTTCATGATGGAAATTGAAATTAATTATTGTACCAATCTACCAATTGAAAGATTTTTAACTTTAATCATTTGAGTAATAATTTGATTTTCGACCTAATCTGAGTGAATATTAGTTCGAAGATAATTTTCGATAAAATTTCTTCCCATTTTTCATAATTACGGTTATAAAATCGGGTTAGAATTCAGCAGAAAATCAAGTACAATGGCACTTAAAGTAGATTAATCTTCTTAAAATATTAATTTATGATTATCATTTTCTTTTTCGAACAGGATTAGCTTATGTTCTTGTCACTTTGTTGATTCGATTCTGATTAGTTTAGGTTCTATAAGTAATATTCATCTAATGAAATTAACTTTTTTATATTCGAACATCAATATTTAACTAATTCATAATGATTGAAATGTTGATAAGTATTGATTTTGATTCGTTATGAAAAGATTTGTCTAGAAACTTATAATCTTTGGTTGATTGCGATTTATTTGTATTTAACTAACAATTTAGATTCCTCTAGATGGCGACTGAGCCGATACCTAGAGAGAATTAAATTGTGAAAGTAAAAACGTTTACAGTCAGACCTCTCATATTTATTTATTTTAAGCTTTAACAGCGGCCTCAGGGGAGGCTTCGATGAATTAAAATTCATCGTTTCCGGTAATGACGACCGTACCAGGGAAAGGGGAAAGAGGGACAAGGAAGGAATAATTGATGAGGAAAAGAAACAATACAATAATTAACAATTTTCTCCCTGAGGCCGAATACAAATTTGAGATAAAATTTAAAATATAATTTAGTCACAATGGACAAAATGTCCTTTCAAAATAAATGGACAAAATGTCCTTTCAAAACAAATGGACTAGAGTCCTTTCAATACAAATCCATTAGGCTTTTATAAATATTATTAATTGAGTGGTTAGTTTGATTGTCCAAAGTCAAAAAACGGTTAACTCATTAAGTATGAAACGAAAAAAAGAAATAATAATAAACAAATAAAATTAAATTTCAATCTAATCAAAGAAATAGAAAAGAAAATTGAATCAGATTATCAACAAAACTTACCAAGAAAAGAAAATGGTTCAAGTTATTACGACGCAATAATAGCTCAGTTTTAGAGTAACAAAATAACTAAAGTAACTGTTGAACTATCATAATTTTGGTATCAACTTGATCCGTATGATAAGATAAATAATAATAACATAAAATTCAATTTTAAATTCACAGGTAAAGTTAATTAAATTAAAGTTTATCAGGAGCTAAAAAATTCATATTTTAACACTTTCATATTTGAACGCTCTCATATTTAAACGAAACGCTCCATCTATTGGATCTTGGAATAGACAAGAGGTAAAACGATTTGATATTTTAAAAGTTATTAGAATTGCTAATCTTGCTTGGCAGGATGTAAAATCTGACACAATTGTTAATTGTTGGGCACATGTTGGTCTTAGTAATTTGAATACTAATTCTTACAATATTCCATCTCTGGTCGATCATAATTATTAAAGTTGATTTTTTTCAAATCTTGCGGAACTTTTTCTCTTCAATTCTGACTAGTGACATCTACTGGTTCACCCACCCGTTTCGTTTAAATATGAGAGGTCTGACTGTACCAAACACAATTAACATTCTGCATTCCAAGCAATTAGTTGATTGTTATTAGTTATACAAAGGAATAGTTGTTTTCAAAGCGAACTCAAGATGAAAATTGTTTTCATTCCTATGGATGCGTAAGTACATTTATTGTTACATTTAAAGTCCAAGTTTTCATTTTTTGTTAACATGAATTCTGTCATTGAATTTTGGTAGCTATGGTCATGTGAATTCATGTGTTGGACTGGCCAGAAATTTGATGCCCTTTGGGCATGAGATTTCTTTTATCGTCCCAACGAATTGGATTAAGACGGTCCAAGGCAATGGTTTTGCTATTGAATCGGTTCAGATCTCTGGATATGAAAAGGATGTCGATCCACAGTCGGGATTTGGTACTTTTATGGATAAGCGAAATGAAACTTATGAAATGGAACCATTGGATAAGTTCAAGCATTTAAATGTTCCAATGCACGATTATTTCCTCGAATTTTTGATCAAATGTAATGAACAATACGAGAAATTGTTGACCAAGATCAATCCAGATCTGATCATTTTTGACCATTGGACTACGGTACCAGCAATCGTTAAACATGGAGTACCTTATATGTTACTATGGTCTTGTAGTCCAACTTTACCTTATTGGAAAGTCGGTGGTCCATCTTATTCATCTGGACTTGGAATCGACGATGGTCCGGAAAAGATTCAACGATTTCGAGATGATCTCAAAGATTGTATGAAAGAGATCGTGGTCAAGTTTAATCATTACTTTTCCAGTGAAGGTCTTGACATGGAAACTTTGGATTATCTTGATTTCACTGTTCTGGGTAGATCACCTTATCTTAATCTGTACTCATATCCAGAGGATTTGGACTATTCAGAATTTGGTCCAGTTCCCGATAAATGGTTCCGTCTAGATCACATGGTTCGGATTGAGGATAATGCTGCTCCTCTTGGAATCAGTGAAGACTTTTTCAACACCGAAAGCAAAGTAATTTTATTTACTCTTGGCTCTCTGGGAACATCCAACTATCAACTATTAACCCGATTGATTGATATTCTTGCTTCATCTAAACACAAGTTCATTGTATCCATGGGTATTCATCATGATAAGATTAAACTACCAGCAAATATGACCGGTAGCCAATTTCTAAATCAAATGAAGATTATGCCTCGAGTGGACATGGTAATTCACCATGGAGGTAACAACAGTTTGGTTGAGACTCTTTACTTTGGTAAACCTTTCATGGTTTTACCTTTGTTTGGTGATCAACATGATAATGGTCGTCGAGTGATTGATAAAAAACTCGCCAAGAGTTTCCATCCACTTCGAGTAACTAGCGATGAATTACTTTCGGCGATCGATGAAACTTTGGCTGATCATAAATTGGCAGAAAGGATCCAATCAATTAGCAAGAAAATCAGAGAGACTCAAAGTTACAATAATTTGAATGAAAAGTTGATTGAAATTGTTGACCAACATAAACAATCAAAGTAAACAAGATAAATATTGTCAATCTCTGTAACAACCAACAATTAGACAGCAACTTGACTTTCAATTAACCTCTAGACACTTGATCATTGGATTAAAAATAAAATAAAATATAATATAATCGAGATGAAAATGACAATTAAAGTTGTTCAAATGTTTAAACTTTACGATAACAATTAACTGAATCTAATCAGTTATCTGGAACAAATGAATAAATAATTATCTTGATGTTATTTGTGATTAATCATTTGTATACAAAGGTGACAAAACAATCAGATGAATAACCAATAAAATGTAACAATCATACCACCAAACAATTAATTTAACTTAAATCATTATCATCAATTGATTAACTTTTCTCATCAACTAAAACTCAAAATATAATAGAAAAAGTTAATCCTTTATCTTTGTTTACCATGATAATAATCTCATGTTAAGTGTTGGAATCATTGTACAATTAAGTAAAGTTAGATAATCACAATTAACAATAACCAATGATTAAATTAGCAAAAAGATTATTTTTCATATGATTGTAATTATTTTTTTTCCAATTGTTACTAATCGAGCTTATCAATTATCTTATAATGTTCACTTACAGGTGTGGAGAGAAAGATTTGAGCCAAATTTAATCATTAATTTCTTGAATATTAATCATAGCAAATCAATTATTTTCCATGTTTAAGATAGAGAATTTAATTCTGAGTAGAAAACTATCAATTTTGAAAATTTTCTGAAAAAAAATCGATCGAAAAATTCAAATTTTCGAAAACACTGAAAAACGTGAAATTACAAGATTTTCGGGTTTTTCGTCGCAAATTTTTAGTTTTTTTCGAATATTTCGAAATTGGTTAGGTTTTTTCGAAAAAAAACTTGATGAATATCTGTTTTCATACACGGAGAATAAGATGGACATGCTTTCGAAATCGAAAATCGAAAGATAAAAATTTTCGATTTTTCATTTTAGTCAAAAAATAACATTTTTGCAATTTTTCAATTTTTAGTGTTTTCGAAAATTCGAAATTTTTTTTCGAATTCATGTCCAAAGCCACTCAAATTTAACGTCAATTTAAAGACAACTAAATATTCTATGCGAATTGCTGAAAAAATTTTCTTAAACTTGATTGTGCTTTATAAAATTAACGTTTTAATTTGGCTCAAATGATTCTCTCCACCTGTATTGGACTTTTCAATTTCTGTCAACCAATGAAATATTAGTCTTAATCAAAGTTAATCAAGACAAAGAATTAATCGAGTCCAAATTGAGTTTGAAACTTTCAAATTGAAACTTTTTCTTGTATCGGATTTAGATACTCACATGGATTACATATCTTCAATAAGAATAAAGTATCAGCGGTAAATTTGATTTTCTATCAATTCTTTTCCGAGAGCAAAATTGATTTCGGGTCATCTTTTTTTCTTCTCTATTTTCTCATCATAATTTCAACGCAATTCCACAATTAATCAATTGATTTATATATTTTTTGAATAATTAACACTCGGCGATTCTAATGAGACTATTTAATCAATTTTCTGTTGTTTCTTTCAAAATTTATTCCAAGATGTGACTCAGAAGATCCAACCAGAAGGTATCACATAAAGTGTTTGGTAGTGAAACTCATCATTGAAAAGTGTGATTTCCTTAATTTGTTAAATGGTCTCATTGTGAGAGAAATTTAAATTATCTGTTGATTGTGATTAGTGTAAATTCAACTAACTATTGGCTTGATTGGAATCTGATCGATTGAGAATTGAAGTTCTAGTTCTTTGAATTCTGGAATCTATTCAGTGATTTTCTTTACTTTCTTCATTCAATTTCCATTTTTTGTTACTTCTTTTTTATTTCTAATAGATTTTTAGACCTGGCGGGTTGAATCCAATTGGTTTCGAGTGTTTCGATTAAAGCGCAGACCAAAAAATATCTAGAGAATAACAAATAACAACCTAATCTATCTTATTGTTGATTCCTGAACGTTTCATATAACCAGACTCGGAAATGATTCTTAAAGTTTTTCTCATCGTTCTACTTGCTAATTTATTCTCGTGTCAAAAGGGTAAGTCACCATTTTCTTTTATTCTTCAAAATTAAATATTCTATTCTATTCTTTGGACAATAACAGTATTTACATTGACTGAATTTTAAAGGTCCCAAGGCTCGGTTGTCTTTTCTTCATAAGCCAAAAAATGGAGGTAAAACTGCTGTCGCTTGTTTGGTCGATACTGGAGAAGCTCCTTTTGACTTTAATTGGTACAAAGATGATCAACTAATCACTAATGAAGCTTCATTTCGGATCGATAAACTTGGAGATTCGTCTATCCTCAAAATAGAACCAATGAAATCTGATCTTAATGGAAAATACTCTTGTAGTGTTAAAAATTTGTTCGGTATTGATTCACCTTCTATCGAGATCGCTGTTGAAGGTAGAGTAACAATCAGCAATTAGCACATTTATTTCCGTATTCAAGGTTAATCAAATTTCATCTTTTGTGGTTAATTAGGTTCACCTTCATGGAGATTCCAACAACCGAACATAAAAGCGAAAAACAAAGAAACTGTTTCTCTGAAATGTTCTGCCTCGGGTTATCCTTTGCCGAAAGTTATTTGGAAAAGATTTGATGGTAACTTTAATTTAGCTTCGATCAATTGGATTAAAGTTTTCTAATCTTATCCCTTTGAACTTTTACAGGCTCTAACTGGATTCCTTTAGGTGATGATCAGTCGATATTCAGAGTTTCACATGATGAGTTTAAGATTGAATCGATTAACAAAAATTTCCAGGGAAAATATGGTTGTGAGATATCAAATGGATTCGAACCAAATCTTTGGAATGAATTTATCATTGATATTATTGGTAAGATATTAAGGGAAATGGTTTGTACTCTGGTAATTCAGAGATCGCGGTTTAATTTTGTAAATGAGACTTGAGCAGAGGCCTTTTCATATCGATGTAATTTAGATTCAATCGGTTGTTGATTTGAACAGAAAATTTTCTTACAGCAAAATGATTCAAATCAATTCTTTAACCCTTGTGATCATTCACATTGTCTTACTTACTTGTAGTAATACAATTAATTGTCAAAACGGTGAGTACATTGTCATTGATTATCTTCAATTAGACTAATTTGTTGACTATTTAATAGCTCCAAAGGCTGGCCAGATATCTTTATTATCTAAACCCAAGGAAGGAGGAACAGCATCTTTTGCTTGTACAGCTGAGATTGGCGATAGACCTTTGAATTTCAAATGGTCCAGAGATGGAGAAGTTGTAATGAAAACAGAAACAATCAGGATTGAACAATTAACTCGAGACTCATCTTTATTGGTGATTGATCCATTTCTGCTAAACACAATGGAAACTATTCTTGTGTAATTAGTAACAATTATGGACAAGATTCTACATCTATACTGATTGGAATCGAAGGTAAAATAACTCGTTCTTGTTAACAATCAAGTTTCTACAAATTATTTTTATTGATACTTTCAGGATCACCTAATTGGATTGAACAACCCAATGATTTAAAAGTTAAATATGGACAATTAATTGATGTTAAATGTCTTGTTTCTGGTTACCCGAAACCTAAAGTCCAATGGAAAAAGTTAACTGGTTAGTTTAAAATAATTTGTTACGATTTTTTATCCGCTATTTTCATAGTAATTTATGATTGATATTTTCTTATTATTCTTACACAATTTAGGCTCAATTTGGACTGAAATGGAATCAATTAGTTATGAAATCGACAATTCTGGACAACATTTGAAAATTTACAATTCCACTCGAAACAATCAAGGTAGATATGGATGCTCTGTCTCGAATGGTATTCAACCTGATCTATGGACAGAATTTTCCATAACCATTGAAGGTATTTGTTGAATATTATTTTCTATGTAATTTCACTTGGAATTGGCGCTTTTCTACTTTGACATAATCTTATTTGACCAAAGAAAATATTGAACATATGATTAACAGAAACTTTAAGCTTGTTTGTAATATAATCGTGATTGATAATTGTTTTGGTGGACAAAATGTTTCTATTCACTTTGATTGTTTTCTGTTTATTCAGAAACCAAGTAAATGGACAAGAGAGTAAGTATTGTTGGTAAGTAACAATTAAATCGATGGTAATCTGATTATCTTTGTATTTTCAGGTCCAAAAGTAGCTCCATTTTCATCTATAGTTAAACCAGTAATCGGTGGGAAGACATCATTCACTTGTCAATCTCTAACGGGATCATCTCCATTTCAGATTGTTTGGTTCAAGAATAACAAAGAAATTCAAGATTCGATAGAAACCAGGATTCGTAATAATGAGGACTCATCAATGTTAATCATTGATTCAATCAAATCAAGTCACTCTGCTAATTATACATGTAAAATCTCAAATAGATTTGGTTATGACTCTTACTCGAGTGAACTGCTAGTTGAAGGTATGACTTTCGAACTCTTTGACCTAAGCATTTAACTATTAGTTAGTTTTTCTTAATAATACAATCAAAAGGTTCACCAAATTGGATTGAGAAACCAACTAATCTAAAATTGAAATATGGACAATCAGTTGACATCAAATGTCTTGCCTCCGGTTATCCATCACCAAGAATTCAATGGAAAAGATTTAAAGGTGAACATTTATTGTGACCTTCTTTCGAATTCTAATTTTTTTATTCATCTTAAATAATCAAGGTTCATCTTGGAAAACAATTGATTCCAATGATATGATTAAGATCGATAACAATTTGAAAATTATCAATATTTCTCAACATCATCAAGGAAAATATGGATGTTCAGCCTCGAATGGTATTCAACCTGATCTATGGACAGAATTTGAAATGATTGTTGAAGGTATTTCTTTAAATTTCTCTTGATAACTTGGAATTGGCGCTTTATATTTTTGACATAATCTCATTTGATCCCAAGAAATTAGATGAAAATAGTAAACAATCAACACAGATCATTGCAAATGATTACGATCATCATGTATTTACCTTTTATTAGCAAAATGTTTGGTGTTTTACTAACTTTTTATCTTTTCCAAAGTCATCAAGTTAATGGATTTCAAAGTAAGTATTGATTATATCATTTTTAGTCGTATTAATTTCCAATTAATTGTATCATCTAAATTTTGAACAAAAGGTCCAAAAGTAGCTCCATTCACATCTTTAGTTAAACCAGTGATCGGAGGTAAGACTTCATTCACTTGTCAATCTCTTACTGGGTCAACACCATTGCAAATAAATTGGTTGAAAGATGATAAACAAATTGAAGATTTACCAGCAATTAAAGTTTTAACAAATGGTGAAGTGTCAACATTAATAATCGATACAATTCAATCAACCCATTCTGGTAATTATACTTGTAGGATAACCAATAGGTATGGACACGATTCTCAAAGTACTCAACTTTTGGTTGAAGGTAAATTGTTGATCATGCTGATTGTTTGTATTTTGTTTTACTTAATTGATATTAATTTATATTTTCCCATAACCTTAGGACCTCCTAATTGGATTAATAAACCTTCAAGTATGAAATTTAAATTATCTCAATCAGTTATCATGAGATGTGCAGCATCAGGTTATCCTGAACCAAAGACTCAATGGAAAAGACTACAAGGTTAGTATAGAAATCTAATTGTGTATGTTAATTAACTTTTTGAAAACTTCTCTTTTCTTATTAAGGTTCTTCTTGGATAGAATTGAATTCATTCAATGATCGAATCAAAATTGAGGATAACAGATTAAAAATTTCTAAAGTAAATCGAAATGATTCCGGAATCTTTGGTTGTTCAATTTCAAATGGATTAGAACCTAATCTTTGGACAGAATTTAACTTGACCATTGAAGGTGAACTTTTCTTTTAAACTTTTTCCATTCTTTTTACTTGAAACTTGGCGCTTTCATCATGAGAAAAACCTTTACCATTGGTTAATTCACTTCTCTTTAACATTAGTCACAATCTAACAATCATCTTAAATCATATTCTGTAATATTATTAATAATATCGAAATGTCCATATTATATGAAAAGATGCTTCGATTGTTAACAATTATTTCCACTTTCAGTTTAATTCTCACTGTAGATGGACAAGAAAGTAAGTATATTCACCACAATCAGTATCGAAAATGATTCTAATGTTTTCCTTTTTGGCCTCTCGTTAATATTTAGGTCCTAAAGTTGCTCCATTCTCATCAATAGTAAAACCAGTGATCGGTGGTAAAACATCATTCGCTTGTCAAAGTCTTTATGGTTCACCTCCACTTCAGATTACATGGTTTAAAGATGGAAAACAATTACTTGATTCACAAACAATACGAATTCGAACCAATGAAGATGGTTCTATGTTAATTATCACAACAATACAATCAAGTCATTCAGGAAATTATACTTGCAAGATATCAAATTCTTATGGCCAAGATTCATATACAGCTCATCTTCTTGTTGAAGGTAATCATTGGATATTTATGATTGATTTAGTTTAACTGACAATTTTAAATTCATATTAAAGGCTCTCCAAATTGGATTGAGAAACCTCAGAACATAAAATCTCATCATGGTGAAACAATTACAATTAATTGTCTTGTCTCTGGACATCCAAAACCTAAGGTTCAATGGAAAAGACTTGAGGGTAAATTTGTTTCGACTCATTTTCGTTGATCCAATATTATTAATACTATTATCTCTTAGATTCATCATGGAAAACTATTGCTGGTGATAATTTTATTCACTCTAATCTGCAACAATTTAACCATAAATTGATTATTTCCAATGTCACTCGTAATGAGAATGGTCGATATGGTTGTTCAGTATCAAATGGAATCAAACCAGATCTTTGGTCTGAATTTGATGTAACAATTGAAGGTAAAGTTTATACAAATTGGACTTTAAATTTTGCTTGAAATCGGCGCTTTTATGTTTCTTTTCATCTAATGTGTAAATAATATTTTCGAGGTTCATAATTGTTATCATTCTGTAATAATCTGCTCTCGGGTAATCTAAATTGTTGCTAATCACAATGTCTTTGACTTTGGTTTGGTTATTTATCGTATCAATTGGATTAAGCTATGGACAAGAAGGTTAGTAATTGGTAAATCGATTTATCCGAATTGTTAATTTCTAATTTCTTCATTTATTCTTAGCTCCAAAAGTGGCTCCTTTTGCTCCATTGATAAAACCTAAGCTCTCAGGTAAAACATCATTGTCATGTCAAAGTTCATCTGGTACTTCACCTCTTTATGTTACATGGATAAAGGATGGAACAGTTTTACAAGATTCATCTTTCGTTAGAATCCAATCATCTAATGATCCATCGATGTTGATTATTGATTCGATTACTTCAAGTCATTCGGGAAATTATACTTGTAAAATGTCCAATAGGTTTGGTCATGATTCTTATACAACTGAACTTGTTGTTGAAGGTAAAATTCTGATTGAAATTTCTTCTTGGTCACATCTTTAACTGTTCTTGTTATTGTCTATTTAGGTCCACCCAATTGGATTGAAAAACCGAGAGATATTAAATCTCATCATGGTGAAACAATTAAAGTTAATTGTCTTGTCTCAGGTTTTCCAATATCAAGAATTCAATGGAAGAGACTACAAGGTATGAGTTTAAAAGTTCAGTCCTGATCTCATTTCTAATAATGTTCAATTTCTTGTATTTTCAGGTGCAACTTGGACAAACATTGACAATAGATTGATGATTAATATTAAACAATCAAATGATAAACTAATAATTTCAAACGCTTCTCGATCTGCCAATGGTAAATATGGATGTGCTGCATCGAACGGTATAAATCCCGATCTTTGGTCTGAATTTGATGTAACAATCGAAGGTAAAGTTTATCAAACATTTTGTTCAATCTCTCTTGAAATCGGCGCTTTTAGGTCTTAATTGTACAGTTTTCGATATTAAGCAAAATTATCACATTATCGAAATCAAATGTCAATCAAAATTTATGTTCACCTTTCGTATGATTGTACATTTTGTCGTCTTCAAACTATGGACTCAAAGGTGAGTAAATTGATTTGACAAGCAACTAATTAGTTGACTTTTGTTTGAATTTTTTTACATTCAAATCTACAAATTTCAAGTATATTGTAGTTGATGTAATCGAAGGTAAAAGTTTGATTGTTTCGAAATTGAATCGAATTGTTTTATAGAAAAGGAAATTTTTTTATTGATTGGATTCTCTTTCTGTAGTATTAAAACAAAAGAAATAAAAATTCAGGTAATTTAACTGGTGAAATTAATAAGTTGAGAAGTTACTTTCCAGTTTAAGTTACATGTTTATAATTTGTTAGGTAATTTATATGCATAAATAATTAGTTAATTGTCAATAAATTTCAAATAACCTTGAAGCGACTATCAAGTTCAAGATTAAAGTTAAAGTGATAATTAGTATATAATTTGTATAAACAGGCAGGAAATTTAGAATGAAAAAATCTCATAGAAAAAGTGAAAGTTGATTAAAATTATCTGCTATTTTAACTAAAAGAGTTTAATTTTTGACTAAATTAGTTTGACGATTATAATTATTTGAAGATGATGGATGCAAGTGAATCCACTTTGGCCGCTAATCTTTTACGTGATTGTGTCTCTTTTTTCAGGCAACAAGTAATTGATTCCATTTCGGTCTTTAAATTTCGTATCTCTTTTAAAATAGTCGATAACTCGGATCCATGTTTACCATCAATCGAAATGTCATTTTGATGGTTATTTGTTTTGTTGAGAGTATGTTTATCATTATCACGATTTTGTTGAATAATCTGAGTTCCGGTTAACTTTGAACGATTACCTTGACAATAGGCTTCGATTACTTGTAGAATTGCCATATCGTTCATTTGTTTGGCATCCTCATTAGTGTTGACCTTATTCAATGAGTCTCGAGTTAACGTATTGTTCCCATCAAAATCACTACTAGAACTTGATGTACGATTTGGTGGATGGGGTAATAAACTTTTCCATGCCCAATATTTACTTCGATTATTATCGGTAAGTGCTGATGATAAAGGGCTTTCAGGTGCTTGAATGGGATGGTGACTTGGACTAGCTCGAACTTCCTTCATTGGTGTTTCCAAGCACTTTGAGGATTCAAGTTTACTTTTACATTTGTGCATCATACTGATCCATTTTCTTATATCTTCCGGGTTAACACAGGATAAAACGTATTTACCCGTTTCCTCGGAATTTGGATCAGCAACAAGAAGTTGAAAAATCGTCTTTGTAGACTGAATGTCAGGAAGACGAGGTAATGTTACATTGACCAGGTAAAGTTTGTCTTCATAGACAAAAGATGTCATCTCATCAGAGACTGAGAGAAGTACCAAACATGTAGGAAAAAGTACAAGGTAGCGATCTTTTTTCACAGTTTCTGATGATGATGGTGATTGT